GCGGGGCAGGCTGAATGCCTCAGTGAGGTTTTTGAGGTGATCTGCACGTTTTGGGGCCTTGACCAGCATGTCGTCCACGTACACCTCCATAGTTTTGCCGATCTGCTCCTTGAAGATTTTGTTCACCAGTCTTTGGTAGGTTGCTCCGGCGTTCTTCAGCCCAAAAAGCATGACCTTGTAGCAGTGGGTCCCTATCTCGATGATGAAAGAAGTTTTCGCCTTGCCATCCTTGTGCATCAAGATTTGGTTGTAGCCGGAATAGGTGTCCATGAAGCTGAGTAGCTGATTGCCAGAAGTGGAATCCACTAGTTGGTCGATTCTTGGCAATGGAAAGTTGTCTTTTGGGCACGCTTTGTTGAGGTCGGTGTAATCGACGCAGACTCTCCACTTTCCATTCTCTTGTTTTGCCACTAGAACAACGTTAGCGAGCCACTCCGAGTAGGAGACCTCTTCAATGAAGCCGGTGGCTAGGAGTTTATCAATCTCGGCTTTGATGATGGCGACCCGCTCGGGTGCGAAGTTGCGCCTCTTCTGCGCCACTGGTTTGCAGGCAGGGTTGACGTGGAGTCGGTGACATATGATGTTCGAGTCGATACCAGGCATGTCTGACGGCGACCATGAGAACATATCTTTGTTGTTCTGGAGAAAAGTGGTAAGTTCCACCTTCTCGTCTGGGCTTAGGCGCGAGCCGATCCGCGCTTTTTTTGTCTGGCTGGTCAGGATCTAAGGGTATTAACTCGATGTCCTCCTCGGGCTTCCATCCTTCTTCAGGAAAGACCTCTGGACGGATTTCCTCGGCTTGGTCCTGACGCTTTGATTGCTATAAGATAGCAAGGTTCGATCGTTCCACCTCCTTCAGATCTGCCTGGCTTACTGGGAGGAACTGCGCTTACTTGCTTTTCTTCAGCCCTTGGGCGGAGCATTTCCTCACCATTGCCTGATCGCTGTTGATTTGTCCAACACCGCCCCCAGGGATTGGGTACCGAATTTTCTGATGTGTGGCAGAGGTGATCCATGGCCTGCCCAGAATGCCGTTGTAGGGTGAGACCTCATTAATGACCATGAACGTTTGCAAGCAGACTACAGGTGGGGAGTAGACGTCAAGGTCTATTGTGCCCACGGTAACCGTTGTTGCGCCATTGAAGCCGGTCAGCGATCTGGCTGATTTGTTGATCTTTGCCTCCAAGCCCATCTGCTGGATGACAGCCAGTTGCAGGATATTGGCTGCGCTGCCCTCGTCAGCATGGATTCTGTCGACCATGGCCTGAGCGATTTGTATGCTGATGACAAGGGCATCGTTATGTGGCATGTCGAGGCCGATCAGATCTTTCTTTTGGAAGCCGATTATATGATCGTCTTCTGTTGGTGGAAGGTCAGTCCAGACTTGGGAGATCATAGTGGCCTGTTTGATCTTCCTCTTCTTTTCCTTGCTGGTCAGTCCTGACTCCTTGGCGTCGGCTAGGATTGTGTTAATCCTTATGACCTTCTGGGGCGGTTTCTTGGCGGTGTCTCGATCTTCAATCCGCTGGATGGCCTGCTTCGCGATGAACTTCGTGCAGTGACCCTCTTTCACGAGTTCTTCAAGGTGTGCTTTCCAAGCGAGGCAGTTATTGGTAGTGTGCCCGTGTGTCCCATGGAAGGCACAGTATTTGCTTGTATCCCTCTTGTCTGGATCTCCTTTCAAGGGTGGCGGTCTTCTTACCCAAGGTTTGTTTTTCACTTGGGCTAAGATTTGATGTATGGGGATGGTGAACTTTGTGTAGTTCTCTCCTGCTGTAGCGTCTCCTTGTGGGTGTGACCTGCGCTTATCCTTGTTCTTGTTGCTAAATCCATCGCTTCTTTGACTTGCCCGCTTAGTTGGTTGATCTTCCTGCTTAGTAGACTTTTTTGCGGCGATTCGATCGTCATCCCAGAGCGCGTAGCGTTCCGCGGTCGCGTAGACCTCTGCCAGACTCTGGCTGGGAGTGATAGTCAGCTCGCGGTACAAGTCGTGTTCAGCTGGGAGGCCTTTCTTGAAAGCAGATTATGCGATCCGGTCGTCACATCCTACAATGTTGGCCTTTTCTGCTTTGAATCTCTTGATGTAATCTCGAAGGGATTCGTCGGACTTCTTGCGCAGGTTGTACAGGTGGTCAGGGTTCTTCTTGATCGTCCGGTAGGAGGTGTACTCTTTGGTGAAGACGTAAGCCAACTCCTTGAAGCTGTTGATCGACCCAGATGGCAGGGTGTGGAACCAATCTTGGGCTGCTCCTCGCAAGGTCACTGCGAATACCTTGCACATCAACGCGTCGTCGGCCTTGTGGAGGATCATGACACTTTTGAAGTGTGTAAACGAAGGTGTGGAGAATCGCTTCGGGGAAGCAGCCTGCTCGATTTCGGCAGTGAAAGGTGTGGAGTTTGCCTGGTCGATCTCCTTGCGTAGTGCATCGTCGAGGTTCCCACCAGTCTTCAGATCTCGAAGTCGGTCATTCATAAGCTTCTCAACGTCCTCCATGCACATTGTTGGTCGATCACGTTGGCGACCTTCGCGATTCGGACGACGTTGACTGACCTCCTCCTGGGTCTGCGAGTGTCGACCTTCTCGTCTGCGCTGCCTAGGCGGAGTGTTGGTGGACTGCGCTTGTGAGAGATTTTCCGTAGTTGGTCGACGAGAGCCGTCTCTTCGTGAGTGAGCAGCGGAGCGTCTTTCTTCGCGGTCCTCATTGTGAGGATTATCTGGTTGACCACCCTGGGGACGTAGCCTCTCGTGAATGTTCGTCTGCGAGTGGACAGCCGAGCGTCTTTCTTCACGATCCTCATTGCTATGGTTGTCTGATTGTCCTCCCTGGGGGCCTAGCCTTTGAAGTACATTTCCCTGCGGTCCCAAGCGGGCGTGGACGTCAAGTCGTGGGCCTAGCCTCTCGCGCATGTTGTTCCTCGAACTTAATCTGCTCCGAGTGGGGCTCGCGGATGCTTGTGACATGTCGGTAGGCCGATCAAGTTGTTGTCCCTCGCCTTGTCTGCCTACTCCTGCTTGACCTGCTGGGTGCCCGTTGAGTTGCCTGCCGGTGCGTTCGTCCATCCTTCTCTCTTCGCCTAGTTGTCCAAGGCCAAGGTTTTGAGCCAAGCTGATTTGGTGGAGGAGTTGCCTCATCAGATCGCTTTGGTCGTCCATTCTCTGAGCTAGCTGGTCAACTCTCAGACTAAGGTCTGCTTGACTTCGTGGATCAGGAGGAGAGAAGTGTGTGGAGCCCAATTGCACACGGGCTAGGGGTTCATTGGAGGTGTGCACGGGAGCGTGTGTAGAACGTGGAGGCAATGAAGGGATCGCTTGAAGTTGCTCCAAGATCGGGCCTAAGTCAGCGGTGGTAACAAGCCCACCTTGATAGGAGGTTCCACCATGTTCGGCGGCGGTGGCCAGTGCGGTGGTGAGAGGTGGTGGTGCCACCATGTCGATTGCGGGATCGTGGGCGAAGTGGCTTTGGGCCGTCGCGGATTTAGCCATCGCGGCGGTTTTGCCTCTCGTCCCACGAGAATATTCGTCAAAGATTCCTTCGTCTTCTCCGCTTCTCTTTCTCCCTGCAAAACAGATCGGAGTAAAAGGACCACACCCGGGGGGTGTTGGCCAAAGGCCCTCCGATGCCTAAGTTAGGTAAGGTATTTCAAGGAAAACCGGGTGGCCGGAGCCGTGTGTGGTGGCCGGAGCCTTGTGTAAGGGAGAGAAAGAAAGTGGTGGCTAGGGTTTGTGAGAAATGATTTCTGCAGAGTTTCAGTAGGAATTTAGACGTACCTCCACCATTGTGTGTGGCTATGCTTTTATAATGGTCTCGGAGGCTAGGGTTTCAGAGGAATAATTCCGTAGATGGAAGGGAATTATTCCTCCCCTTTATGGAATTGATTTGATTAATTAGGGATTTGATTTATTAGGGTAAATCAAATCCCTAATTGTGGTAGGTATCAAATCAAATCCTATTTCAATTAGGTAACTCCTCATTTAATTGAGAATCGGGGTAGGAATTAGGAATCAATTCTCAACCCAATTAGGTAGTCTTCAATTTAATTGGGTAACCCCCAATTAAATTGAGTAACTCCCAATTAGGTTGATTAATTCCCAATTAGGTCAAATAATCCCCAAATGGAATGAATTATTTGACCTAGGGTTTTGATTTAATTTGGTTACCACAATTATAATAACATATGAGAAGACAGACAAGAGGAATCTCCACCTGATTGTATATGTTGGGCACGTGATTATTTCTTAACAGAAGAAACATGTCTTCCACCTTCGTGTTAATGTAGAAGCTAGGCTGTCTCTTAGGTTAGATGAAACAGTTCATGCGAACCCAAAGAAGTCATAAGGCCACGGCTCTCACCAAAGACTCATCATTTTACAAACTTTCACATTATAAAGATCCCATTCCAATGAACCAAGAGTTGTGTCGAAAATGGGGCTCTAGATAATGTTGCTAGAGTAAATAAACTAAATCACGTGTGACTTTCTCAAAAATTTATAACAGCAGAATTGTTTGTATTAGCAACGGAAAGGGAGATTCGAACTTGGACCTTGTAAAGAATGTTTGGTTGAAAGGTTTTGTTGTATTGTCAATAGTAGAGTACAAGCAAAATATATACTGCCAATATTACAGAATCTCTGTAGCATGATCCCCAATCCTAGGGATTGATTTGGATCTGTCTACCTATATCAAGTAACTACTCTATGTATGGTTATAATTAACATATTACAATAATAACATATCAATTACAATATATTATTCTAATAGACCTCTCCCAATATTGAGCCGCTATCGACCTTCTGGTATTAACATCTATACCTACTGATGTCTCTTATGGCCCAAAAGAAAAGGCATCAAACATGCGGTATTGGGACTTCTAGACATTGTTAAATTCTTGCACTGCTGATTGTCAGTACTTGTTACAGTACTGTTACATTGTTATTCTTTTCTTTTTTAATTTGGACTTGCCAATTTTTTTTGTTTTTAATAACCTCTATCGTGCTTCTGGAATAGTAATGGTCACAGAATTGTTGGAGTAATTAGATGTTTGAGAAGAAGAACCAGCAGCACTGGAGTTCCTATGTGTTGAAAAAGCAGGTTCTTTGGTGGGTGGAAGAGATGTAGCTTCACTCGCCAGCATAAGAATTACTGAAGACATTGTTGGTCGATCAGCCGGAGCTTCTTGTACACACAAAAGACCTACATGGATACACCTTAAAGCTTCATGGGGAGGACATGTTTCCCTTACCGCTTCATCAATCACCTCCATTCCTCTACTGTCTTTCCACAATTCCCATGCCTACGATTTAACATATATATAAACCCATCACTCTTGCATGACCATTCACTTATTTTAATTGCAAATTCTCTTGAGGCTTAAGAAAAGGACACATTCTAGAATTTTTAATACTTACCCAACCAGAAATTGTTACTGAGTGTTCAAAATGACGAAAAGAAGCATTCTTCTTTCCACTTACAATCTCCAACAACAACACTCCAAAGCTGAATACATCCAATTTCTCTGAGAAATGGCCATAGAGTGCATACTCCGGTGACATGTAGCCGCTTCATGAATTAAAGGCAGAGGAGTAAGCAGAGTAGTGATTGCATAAGGTTTATTACATGAATGAAAAGATGTGCTATGCATACTTACTATGTCCCAACAACCCTCTTAGTATCTGCTTCAGTTTGATTTGTCCCGAAAATCCTTGCCATTCCAAAGTCTGCAATTTTTGGGCTCATTGATCCATCCAACAGAACATTACTTGCTTTTAGGTCCCTGTGAATGATTTTCAATCTAGAGTACTTGTGGATATAAAGTACTCCTTGAGCAATACCTTCTATAATTTTAAAGCGTCTACCCCAATCCAATTTTTTCTTTTCAGATGGATCTGATTAGACAACCCAGGAAGAATAATGAGCTGAGTGAGCAACACATAGAAAAAGATCTTAAGAAAAGGCAATCAAATTTGAAGTCCCAGAAATCAACAATATCAAAGAATCATAGATCAATACCAAACAAAAACTTGTCTAAACTTCGATTGGGCATGAACTCATAGATCAATATCATTTCCTCTTCTTCAATACAGCAACCCAAGAGTCTAACCAGATTGGTATGTTGGAGCTTGGCTATAAGCTTTAACTCATTCATGAACTCCTGATGTCCTTGCCCTGACTTCTTTGACAGCCTTTTTATGGCTACTTCTTGATTCTCAGGTAAAATGCCCTGCAAAGGAAAGAAAATCCCACATAAAGAGAACCACCACCTTATCAATCAAACATAGTTAGGGAAAATGGTATTAAGAGAAGTACTAAAGAAGGTGTCATGTTTATGAAGAACAATTAATGTACTATATTGCATTACATAGTGGAAGTGTCACCTTATAAACAGGGCCAAATCCTCCCTCTCCCAGTTTATTAGCTTCGGAGAAGTTGTTTGTTGCAGCTAATATACTCCTTAAACTGAATAGTGGTACTTCTGTATCATCCTTTCCACCTCCAGCACCATAATTTACTTTAGTATCACCATTCTTCCACCAATGCTCCCTGATGTTTCGGTCTTAGTGTTAGAGCATCGTTTGTTTGAAACTTTGAATTACTAGAATCCGTGTGCTTGCACATGTGACAGAGAAAGAGAGAAAGAGAGATGAGGCAGAGTGGTAGCAGTACCTTCCCTTTCCCAATGTTTTCTTCCATACGAAATTGCCAAAATTCATTATAAGCAATCCTGCCGTTGCTGAGACAATTGCAATTATAAGGGAGCGTTTATCGGTATGACCATTAACACCTGCAAACAAAACAAAAATATGCAATTAACCAATTACAATGATGGCTCTCGAGGTAATAATCACTTACAACAATACCAACAATCCTTTGCACAGTACTTTTAAGATACATAAACTCAGAAGCTGCAAGTCTAATGTATAAAGTTCTTCCATCACCACCATCTGCTGCATGTTCTTGCACACCCAAGAGATCTCCAGTCCAAATTGAACATCCGGTATTGCTGTCATAAGCATAAGCAGTGCAAGAGCAGTTACTTAAGCAGATTGATCCACATTTCTCAATACTCCCAACCTCCACAGACTGGTTATTTTCAGGCATTGACATGGTTTGCACTCCTAGAAACCAGTCTTCAGTTCCATTAACACTCATAGAATTCCCACACTGCAAACTGGTTTTTCTTGAACACCCATCAGAGTAATCCTGCAAAACCCAATCCGTCGGCGAAGTTGGCTCAAAACCCATCAAACAATTACAGAAGAGCCCGGATTTATCATTGCAACTCCCAAATGCCCCGCAAAATGCATGAACTGCACATTGTTTTCTTGGTTGAGACCAAAACAAATTCCATTGCCTGGAAGTCTCCAACCATGTTAGTTTCTGAATCTTCCCCGAGGTATGCATCACGAATCTAGACATTCTCTTAGGATCATAAAGAGAGTAGGTGAAATAACTCTCGTTTTCGTTTGTAATATAGCTGTAATTGTAGGTGTAATTAACCCTCATCTCAGGAACCAAGCTGAACATATGTGAACTTTCATTCCATGATCCGCTGGTCCAATACCGTCTAGAACTATTCCACAGTATGATATATGAGTTGCTTCCATTTGGGTCTAGCTCAAGAGAGAAAAGACCTGGTGCGGGATCCTCTGAATTCTTCCATGAAGTGAGAATTTGGCTTTGTTTGGTAATTTTGTTGAACCCAATTCTACCTCCTGGTAGCCATGTATGGGTTGGATGATCAAGGCTTTGCCATAAAGGCTCTGATGTAGTACTAGTACTACACCCACCACCAGCTCTTAATAAGACAAGGTTTCCAGTATCCAAAAGAACTGCTTCTATACAACCTGTGGTGGTGGTGGTGGTCAAATTTGTTGACCAAACTGGACTTTTCGACTCGTTGAAGAGAACCAAATTACCATCTGAGATTCTCAAGACCGAAGAAAAACTATCAGAGACTGGTTGTTCCCTATTTGCTACCCACACTATGGTCTGCTCATCAGATACTACTTGTTTGGAGTACCACATGCCTATGTAGTAGTTTGAAAACTTACCTGGTTTGAAAAAACCCAGCTCAAAAACCCCACCTGCAGAGACAATGGTTTGATCACCAGAGAGAGATTGGTTTCCGCTGATGGTGTAAGCTGCAAGGGAAATATGGACTTTGAGATACAGGCATGACAAAACAACTGAAAGCACCAGCCTTGGCTTGGTTTTGGTATCCATTTGGCTGCACATAAGAAATTTGCAGATGTTGAAAATAATGCACATTTGTGCTTAAGATTTCAAGAAGGATCTAGAGAATTCAAGAGCTCACAATAAAGAAGTTGCATGGCAGCAAAGCAAAATGAATATGGTGGAATATTCTAGGTAAAACCATATAGTTGTGGCTGGAGTAAAAGACCAATTCCACTTGGTGATGTCGGCAATGAAGATTGAAGATTATTCTAGACAAAGCCAAACATATATGGCTAGGAGAGATTGTCCAAGTCGGTGAGACTTGGGTAGCGGCGGCAATCAAAGCCTATAAATATAGGCATGCTTATACTCATACAAAGTGGAGTCTAACAGAGAACTGGAGCCAAGGGCTACCTAATGCTAACTATGTTGAGAGCCAATAAGCTCATTAATCAAAGTGTAAGGGCCAAATAGCCCAAACTAATCTAAACCAAGTGTTGTGGCCAATAAGCCAATATGCTAAGTGTAGAAGGCCAATTAGCCTACACTAAGTCATGTACTATTCTCCTCCAAATCTAATAAAATCACTTTGTTTCCCCTATAATCTAGCAGCAGACAATTTTAGATACTGTCTTGCAATACTTAACCAGATCAGCGCATTCAGCTCAGTCAACTATTGAAGAAGCCAAACGTCTACAGTCCAGTTACTAGAAAAGCTTAAAATGTTATACAACCTTCGCATTAAAAAAAGCCTGTAATAATCCTGACCAAAAAAAAACAAAAAACAAAAAAACAAAAAACAAAACACAGAAAATAGTAAGAAGAAGAAAAGAATTCAAGAGGCAAAGCGATATTTTTCCTTGGATCGCGACATCCTAACTTCATGACATGGACAAATTAGAAAGATTTAGTGTCTTTTTCATTTAAGAAAAAATAAATATTTGATTCCGGTCCAATTCTTCCACCATAGTCTCTGTGTGTACCGATTGTTTTAAAGCGATATTGGGGATAGGGATTCAAATACATGACATCGAATACATAAATAATTGTTTTTAATCACTTGAGTTACAAGTCTCTTACAACCTTGATGACATGTGGTATGTAGATGAATAAGTACTTAACAAATTGCAGTGGGTTTAGGTCCAAGTATGAATGAATGATATGACCTTGCTTTTGATGACATGGACAAATTAGAAAGATTTAGTGTCTTTTTCATTTAAGAAAAAATAAATATTTGATTCCGGGTCCAATTCTTCCACCATAGTCTCTGTGTGTACCGATTGTTTTAAAGCGATATTGGGGATAGGGATTCAAATACATGACATCGAATACATAAATAATTGTTTTTAATCACTTGAGTTACAAGTCTCTTACAACCTTGATGACATGTGGTATGTAGATGAATAAGTACTTAACAAATTGCAGTGGGTTTAGGTCCAAGTATGAATGAATGATATGACCTTGCTTTTGATTTATAACTAAAACACAAAACAGCAGGGCTAAACTGGTGAAATGCCCTTTAAATTTGTAGCAAACTTTCAACTTTCCCTTTAATATTTTTTCTAGAAAATTAAAGATATAAACTATTTATTTAGCTGATAATTTTCCATTAAAAAATTTCATGTGCCAAGCATGTGAGATATTTAAAGAGAAATTGGTCATTTGCACTTTAAAATAATTAAAACTAAAAAAAAAAAAATAAGGCAAATAATAATAATAATACTAGGCTTAAATATAGAAATGGTCATTATGTTACCAATCTGGCCAATTTGGTTCTCGTGTTTTCTATTTGATTGATTTAGTCCTTGTGTTTTACTCCGTTAGCCAATCTTGTCTATTCTATTAAATTACCGTTAAAAATTCATAAATTTTTTAAAAATTAATTAAAAAATGATAAAGGTTTAAAAAATTTAAGTTTATTTTACAAAATGAATAAATTTAAGAAATTTTAAATAAATAAAACCCAACACCCTCTACGCCCTCTTCTTCTCTCAAGCCGCAACCACCACCCAAGTTCCCACCATGAGCAATCCCTGCCACCAACCCACTCACTCGCGCGTGAGCGCCCGCGCGTACACACACACACACACTCTCTCTCTCTCTCTCTCTCTCTCTCTCTCTCTCTCTCTCTCTCTCTCTCTCTCTCATCCATCCCACCCAACCCCGCAACTCCTCTATGCATCTCCCTTTCTCACATCAATCCCTCCTTCCCACCGTACATCTTCTATTGCCCCCATCTCATAGCTCGGTTGTTTTTTGCAATTTTTTTACATTTTATTTTTAATCAGTCAACTATTTTCTTAAAAATGGGGTTTGATTTTTAAAATTGAGATTTTATATTTTTCTATAACTAATTTGTGATTTTTATTAATTCAAATAATATTTATGAATTTTTTAACAGTAATTTAATGTAATGGACAAAATTGGTTAACTTAGTAAAACACAATGGCTAAATTGGAAACACTGATATCAAATTGGGCAAGTGAGTAAAACACAAGGACGATTTTAACATTTAAGCCTAATAATTAAACCCCAACCTCCAGCCCCACCCCATTGACCTCCCCCTCTTCGCCCCTCTCTCCGACTGCGCTGGAACAAAAAGCTGAAGCATCTATCTTTGGTGCTGGGGAAAGTGTCGGACCCACCGACATTTTGTAATATGTTAGGTAACAGAAGAAGCATGATTCACTTTCACCTTTCTTCTGCCAATGTAAAAGCTACGGCTGGCTCTTAGATAAAACATCTTCTATTTTTTTGGACTAAATATGTAAAACATTGCTAGAGTAACTACAAATAAATCACGTGTCACTTTCTTAAAAATGGATAGCGACACAATAGTTTGTATTAGCAAGGTAGAATGATCATGTTCTTTTTAAGCATGGACGGGGAGATTCGAACTTGGAACGCTCCCTGACATTGAACTGCTATCGACCTTCTGGTATACAAATGGTGGTTGCATTGGTGGAATAGCTAACATCAATGGCATTCCTAAGAGTTGAAAAGGCAGGTTTCTTTGGAGGGTGTAGGTAGCGTGGCTTCAATGCCCTGCAGCATTAGAATGACTGAAGGCATTGCTGGTCGATCATCTGGATCTTCTTGTGCACACAAAAGCCCCACATGGATACACCTCAAAGCTTCATGAGGGCAGCATGTTTCCCTCACTGATGCATCAAGCACCTCCATCCCTCTACCTTCTTTCCATAGTTCCCATGCCTATGATTTAAACACATAAACCCATCAATCTTGCATGACTGTTCACTTACTTGCACTTGAACGTTACAGAGTTAATTGCAAATTTGACAAGCTTGAAAAGAAGAATATAAAACTAAAAATTATAGTACTTACCCATCCAGCAAGAGTTGGTGAACGTTCAAAACAGTAAAAATCAGCATTCTTCTTCCCACTTACAATCTCCAACAACAACACACCAAAGCTAAATGTATCCAATTTCTCATAAAAATGGCCATAGAGTGCATATTCAGGTGACATGTAGCGGCTGCACGAACGATAGAGATGTGAGAAACAGTAAAGATTGCATAAGGTTTACGTGAATGAGAAACATGTGCTCTGTATACTTACTGTGGGAACCGAATTAAATCAGACCCTAGGTCAAATAATGCCTTCCATTTGGGGATTATTTGACCTAATTGGGAATTACTCAACTTAATTGGGAGTTACTCAACTTAATTAGGGGTTACCCAATTAAATTGAAAGTTACCTAATTAAATAGAGAATTGATTTGATTCCTACCACAATTCCCAATTAAATGAGGAGTTACCTAATCAAATTAGGAATTGATTTGATTCCTACCACAATTCCCAATTAAATGGGGAGTTACCTAATCAAATTAGGAATTGATTTGATACATACCACAATTAGGGATTTGATTTACCCTAATAAATCAAATCCCTAATTAATCAAATCAATTCCAAATCGGGGAGGAATAATTC